ATTTTAATGTTATAGAAACAATACGAAATCAGATTAAAAAATTTATGTAAAGATATTACATACTCTCTTTACACATCGCAGATTTGTCAAAATGCAAAACTTTATGAAGAATGGTTCTCCGGAGTATAATGGCCGGCGAAATCTTGATTAAGCATGAAGCGGAGTATATTTCACGTAGTATAGAGGCAACCAACCGAGAGGAGCCATCGCTGTACATTTGCATGTCTCTACAGAGAAGCCGCGGCTAAATATGCACCGCTCGTTACTTAACCAACCACCAAGCAGCGTCGGTGAAGCTCTGCTTCTGCAGCTATAGATCCACCGCGAAATTCTACCATTCTTACACGCGCTATATGCCGTTTCGCGCGATTTCATGTTGAAGCGACTTAATTTAGAACACTTTGATTAATTACTGCTTGACATTTATCGCGCGCGTAAAACAATGAGACGTTCTTATTAGATTTCATTTTATTCTCCACTTTAATAAATCAAAAACTGATCTATAAATATTCGACAAATTTGGGACTCTAGAATTAATGTGGAAATCGTTAATGCGAAATCGATATGTTATATATGACAACCTTGTAATCTTGGCGTTGATGTTGCATTATGTAACTAAAGTTCTATAAAAAAAATCTTTATATGCTTTTTCCGGTTAAATCTACAATGCAAATCGAATGGCGGATAAAAATGCTCGCGAACCGAGCTTGAAGAGACGACATATGCTGTATAGGTACATTTTTTCACCCCAGAGATCCCCAACTAAAATACATGAAATATAAGAGGAACGGCAAATTTCCATATAAATCTCAGCATTGTTCTTTTGCACCGGAAGAACTGACAGACTGTGGAATAAGCGTTAGCAATGATATATCGCCCTAAAACAGATTAAACTAGTTGGTCTGATACCAGGTTATGATGCTATCTAAAGGATACGCAACGTGAGATTTTTCTTCATTAAAGTTGCAATACCAGTATGCTAAACAAACGTTTAAACGAAATTTATTCTACTAGAACAAAAAACTTCTTCTGCAAACGTTTTGAAACATTTCTTCACGAAAGAAGTTACCTTCCATCCAAGATTTTTGAAGATTGGCTAGCTTTACTTTATACAAATTCAATTTATAATAAAGTTATATTAAAAAGAATATGACAAAAGAATTTTTGCGCAACATGTTCTAAGAACAATAGCAAATTTCTTAATGACAAATTCTTAATGTCGCTTGAAGTTTCAATAATAAACTTTGCAATTTAATTTAATATTGAGACACATAAAATGTCAGTTGTATATTAACAATTTTTACATTAATATCAAAAAGTTTGGAAAATGTATTAAGTGTTTCTACATCAATATTTCTGAGATTCTGTAATATTTTATGAAGGAATTAAAGCTTCGCTCGAGTGATTTAGCATTATACTATCGCAAAAAAATATATTAAATTTTTGCATGAAAGACCAGTGATCTTAATCGATAAAACATTGAACGAGATTACCGATGTAATTAAATTATGTTTATGATCTGTAATGAACGCACAGGACGGACCAGACAGCGTCTGCCCTATTGGTTGACTGATTACGGAATAATTGGGTTGGCAGACGGTAGCAATTCTGGTCGATGCCAACGCGGCGCCATATATTCTAATGAGTTTCATAAGTACGTGGAATTAACGCAGAAAAATAAAACCGCTAGAATTTTTATATTGTAAAACTATATACGTGCAGACTTTGTTGCGTCTGCTAAATGAATCATGTCTTACCAATGCTCAATGTCAATAAATCTAAAGGCAACGCATGAATACGAGTAATAATTCTTATGAAAGTGCTCTCAAGAGAAAAGAGTAGACTAGGGAAAGATGTAAATTGCGTGGATGGAAAGTATCTTGCGCGCAGCTCCGCAAATATGCCGCGCTAGGTGGATCTAATTGCGAGCCGCATTTCATCCCCAGTTGGAAAAATCTCCAGAGACACGCGACAAAGGTACACCCGCGATATACGCAAGTATTCACCGCGGCATTTCATAGCGAGACGGCTTGAGAAATGATGTAAGAGATTATCAACTCTGAATTAATGACCGCGAAGGACGCACTAGTACACGGAGAAATCTCCTGTTTATGAAAAAGTGAATCATTAATTCACAGCACGCTAGAAACTGTAAGCAAACTATAAATAAAAAAAGAACCACACATTGAATCACACACGTAAAAGTCGCAACCTATTCTCTTTGTCGCATGGAAGGTATTGTTCACAATGTCCTGTCCGAGATAGTAATATTATTTATAAGAAGAAATAGAAGGATTGTAACTTGGACGAAAGAGTTTAAAATAAAACGTCGTATAAGGGAATATCTTGAAATATATGAAACTTATTAATAATAATACAGTAATAAATTACCATAAAATTCTTAAAATTACAATAAAACTTATAGTTTCTATAGTAAATAAAATTATATTTTTATTTTACCTAATTTAATTAAATTCTCTTTCTATATTCAATTCAGTCGTCATCAGTAATCAATGCTTTCGAACTTCTATTGACAACTGTACGGCCGACCGCTCTGGGTTAAGCAGAATAGAATTGTACGAGCTTAGGTCAGCGATTCCGATTGCTCCAGATTGCTTAAATTCTTGAGAAAACAAACTGTGCACCCCATCTCCATCCCTTGCGTTCCGGTCCCGAGAGAAATGTTCGATCATTCTGATTATACACATTGATATTTGCTTACTCGTTCATTAAAATTTAATAAACGAACAATTTTAGTCACCCCCATCAAGCATAGAATAAAAATAAACAAGTCAAATGAGATACTACATTAAAAAATTGTCTGCTCATACAAAATGTAACAAAATATATGCACTTGTTTTAAAAAATCTCTGCTTAAAAATATATTATGTAGTAACATACATTGTGTGCAGCTACACACAATGTGGAATTTACGATAAATATTAATCTATAAAATTGCTCCCACAAAAATATATTCGGTCACGTGGAAAATGGAAAAGATATTAAAATATATGCACTCCATAAAAATGCTATTAAAAGTGTTTTACACGTTTTAGATGCGTGTAATAATGAAAGTGTGGAATACGTTTCATTATACAATGTAAAACCATTGCTCAATTATTATATCATCAAACAGATTCATAAAAGTTATTATACGACTCTTCCGTGAGTGTATTACAACTTTTCAACGTTATTTCTAGAAAAAAGAACGATTTTCGGTTTATACGAAAGACACGAATCAGCTCTATACATATATTCCCTGGAGATTCTTATATCTATATTCCATTTCATTTTTCATACGCGAATTTAACATCGTATTTCTTTCCCTCTAACCTCCTTACCCCATTTTCATTTTTCTCTTTCTTTCCCTCTCTTTCTCTATCCTTTTATTGAATTATGCACCGAATTCCGAACTATGTTGACACACCCTCGTTATAATATCTTGTTGTATCTCTAGTGGCACTTGATTTCCTCAGGGCCGAGAATTTAAGAATTTCTCGAGAATCATGTTATGCCCCTCCGATTCACATATCGTAGTTTAAATTTGCTTAACAAATATCGTTGCAGTAAAATGATTTAATAACATTGTATTTGTACGAATATAGACGAGTGGATTTGAATATTAAAATACGACTCAGTGTACCCGTAAGGTAGAAGTGCAGCTAGAAATGCAAAAGACATTTGTTAGCAAACATAAAGTCATTCGATGTAAACTGGTATATTTCAGAATGACACTTTTTTATATTTGCTCGGGTCTAGAGAAATTTTGTGTTTAATAATCGAACAATCTATCAGTTTCATACGGCATGCTCGCGTTTTGAGGCTTACATGTAGGCAACGCTATAGTAAATATCCCGATAGTCTATCGCCGCGCGTTATTCAATATTGACACTCCGTAGTAAAACAATGGAAATATGTTGCCCGGCCACAGTGTCGAGGAGAAGCGTAAATATCGAGTAAATTAGCATTAATCTGTTGGCGTTCGCATCGGCGCTATTCGACGACCGGCTGTTAACGGTTTGAAAATCACAGCAGCCGAGTGTCACGTGTAGCCGCGTGTTTGTCGTCCGCTCGAAAGCCCTCTAACAGGTACGCGAGTCATTTTTGAAGCCGGCCTCTGAACCTGAAACAAACCGATCCGATCGCACGCCCGGCACTTTTACACCGCGCGCATAGGAGAGACGGAATGGTATCTCTTTGCTCGACGAAACGGTTACGCAAACATTTTGACATATGAACGAATGTGAATTTGATGAGAAAAACGCAGAAATACAATCAGGCCAGTATATTTATCTCACGCTACTCCATGTATGAAGCGTTCAACAATTAGTATTTAACGGTAACTATAATCCTCATTGATTGCTCTGCTACATCATATATTGTTTGTTCATCTTGTTTTAGTGAAATATTAAATGATATTTCTTAATAATTTCCGAGTTGGCCACTATAGCGATTAAGGGCACATCATTGAAATCATAAGCCTCGTAAATTAAATTAAACAGTAGTGAAAAATATTTTTAAACTAACAAATCGCCTTTCGACCACCAAGTAATAAAAACAATTCACCTAGATTATTACAGGGCTAATATAACTTCTCGATTATAAAAGTTATGACGATAAAATAAATTTTCCAAATTAAGTTCTAACAATATAAATAAATTACAAAATGTTAATTATCGATCTGAAGGAATAAAACTTTTAATAAGAAAACATATGAAATACTAACTAAATGTGGAATTTAGTTTATGTAACTTCTTGAAGCTCAGACCGAGTATAATAAAAGCAAGACATAAAAACATTTATTAGCGACACAAAACTCGTAAAATAAGTACAGCCTCAACAATTCCGCAACCCAGATAACAGTAACAAGCACGTCTTTCACCGGAAACCTCATAATTCGCTGAAACGTCGTAATTCGATGGCGGATACAGCCATGAAACGCTTGAAAATTCGAATTCCGGCGACGAAACCTGTGGGCTGAAACATGATTGACATCTTACCCGAGTTCGAAAGGTAGATCGCGCGCAGACGGGGCGGCAACGCGAATGACATAAACTGTCAAACGTGACGGCAGAGGAGAACAGATTGGCCTTAGCGCGCGGTACGTGATCAGCGTGGGTACCGTCTTCTGATTTCTCCATGGCCGCAGAACGCGAAAGAGACATTCTGGAAAGGAGAATAACGTTTAATGCGCCGGGCGGGCGGAGATGGAGCGCCGAGAGAAAGATGGAAAGATCGCGAGAGAGATCGGACGTGACGCCATTTCCATTCCCGAAAATTTATGGGCCAAGTTTTGCTCGCACGTGGTCCCGCTAATTACGCGAGAAACGCGGCAGGCAGATTCGGGAATAACGATCGCACGACGACCACTGGCTGAAATAGGAAGACGTAGAAAGGTTGCAGTAAGCGCGTACCAATGCACGTTCGTGCAAGATCGTGTATTAATGAAGTTTGAGTACGGATAAAGTTTTTGTCGTGGCTAAAAAAATTAATAACTGACGCAGATTAACTTCAGAGACGAAATAAAACAAAGATTAATGTGACGCTGATTAGAGCGAATAAATAGATCAATGGTCTACATTTCGGAAAAGTACACTTTCTTTCATATCTTGTTTCTCTCTCCTTTTTTTCTACTTAAGAATATGATATCTCATGTATTAATTTAATTAAAGGAATGAATTGTTACTTGTAAAACACGTTTTTATCATTAACTTTTGTCTTATTTCATACAATATAAGACTTAGGATATAATTAGAAATATTTAGAAATATATAATTATAAAGATTAATGGCATCGAAACATTTATGCTTTATTTTAGGACCAAAATATAGCAAAAATGAATAATTTTGTTTCTGCTCATTGAATACTACTACATTTATTTTCTAACTGGTTATAGAAGTTTTTCCCTATGTTAGTGTATACCTTTATTCAATTCGTTGTGTATTCTCGATTGGACAGCGCGCTACATCGATTTCTAATAGCTTCAATGGAACATACCGTCAAGACTTTTTGTTCGCAAACAAATTTACCCAAGTTTCTCCTAATTACTGTCCTGTTAATTACTTAGATCAAGAAGCTGGTTTACTCTTTTACATGTGAGACGGAGAAAAATAAGAATGCAATAAATATTTCCACGCAAAAGAGAAATAGAATCATTCTGCTCCCTCGTGAAACAGAAACTTTACTCACTGACCGAAGTGTATAGCGGAGGCACAGTTTCGTTCGATTAAAATCTTATGCCGAAGTGCCGAAGTTTCGGATATTATACGCGTTCCGTATAATACAGTTTCTCCAATCTCGAATACCCTACCGTTTTCTCGCCATCCAACACCTGCGATCCGCGAGCAGCCTGCATAAAATTCGTAGCCGTAAGTTAATCATACGTAATTTCATTAAAGGATCTCTTGAATACCTCGCAATTAACGCTGCTTTCGCAGCAACACCCACGGGTGTCACAACTAATTAATCGCTGAATTAAACTATTTTTGTTCTCGATCCTGCATGAATTCAATTTTGTGCTTTACAAAATGTTGCTTTACAAATGTAACCTGAAAATAATGGGGCGTATTATTTTCGGATTACTATTTATATATCTGCTATTTGTATGATTATAATTTGGAATTGGAACTGTGATAATTTCCAAATATACATCCGATGCTCAGGCGTTTCTATCGTTGCAACAAAGAGAAAGTTATACGTAGTTCAAAATATTACATAATACCGGTATTTATACCAATCGATTTTTACTTCGGACATTGTAAAAATTTCAGTATGTAACCAATATTTTCTACAACGTTCTTAATCCCTGATCGTATATTCTCATTAAGACCTTTTAAAAAGTCATTGTACAAATGTGAATTTGCGTATATATATATTTTTTTTCTAACGACATGGAACTAACGCGAAATTTCGCGTGCCGCATCGGTGTTACTCTGACGCTTGTCGTTCGAAGCAATCACCATTATAACTGCCGGCGGGAATTGCAGAACTTTATCATACAGTCTAAACAATGCCGGATTTCGCCGTGATGCCAACACATATATGATGTCACGTCCAGAGCCAGTTTATCAATGGCAACTAATGCAATGGATGGCCATTCTAACGTACCCCCCCCCCGTTATCACATTGAGCTATACCGTCGTCATCCTCAACTATATCGATTTCGTGTAAAACGAAAGAAAAATACACGTTCCAGAGTTCTCGTGAAATTTCACCTACTTGTAGTACAGTTATAGATGTATCAACTTATTCTCGCAATAGCGGAAGCATGCGACCTGACAACAATCTGCAATTCTTCGGGACAATATATGTATATTCTAGGACACTATCAAATAACGAATAAAATATATAAAGTCCATTAAAATGACTTATAATATATTTTCGATCGCACAGACTGAAAGTATTGATTAGTTAAACAGTATTTTCGATACTTATCAATGAGGTACGCATAAGATTTCAAGTTTTATAACGTGTTGTGTATTGAAAAAATCATGGAATCGAGGAAGAATAGCACGGAAATCTCTGTGCAATGCTTAATATTCGAAGCGATATCCGTAATCTATTTTCGGTCAATCATCCGCGTTTTTATCTGTCACCGACATTCATAAACTAATTGTCAACGTCGGACAGTTTTAACGTGATGGCCACGTCCAGCAAAGCTGTACCCCACGCGTAAAATCGAATTTCAAAAGATTCGTGGAGGAGTCGCGGGTGCGAATGGTCCTTATCTATCGATCAATCTGATTGACAATCGTTTTGCCCGAAGGGTACATGAACATTTTCGATTATCGCGACTCAATACCAACCAGCCGAATTCCCTGTTGATCTGATTGACGCATCTGCGTGCCAGTGGAGCGTAAACGCGGCCCCCGCCGCGTACCATCTCGTAATAGAATCTCGCAGAGCACTCGGGGAAATTCGTGAGTACCTCCTAGATCGGTGCCTCCTTTGAGATCTCGTTTAGCGAGCTGATATTGAAACGGGTAAACGGCGTTTTCACGATAGAGAGAGGGGTGTTCGTGTCGGGTTGCACGTGCGGAGATTACTGCCGTTTTGTTTATTCGCGCACACGTTACGGGAGAGCGTACTCCCAGAACGTATGAGCGAAACGAGCGGAAAAAGACGAGGCAGAGGGAAGTTGCGGAAGAGACAGAAATGGAAAGCGGAAAGAATAAGGAGGATAGCGAGATGGGAAAGCGGACTCGCGCCGTCAAGGGACATATCTCTTTCACGTCTCAATTTGTATAAGTATCGCGACAGTTATTCCAGAGCCGTGATACCGAACACGTGCTATCACACGCGCGCGAGCGACTGCCTGACGCAACTACGATTGCACGATACGACGGTGTAGGTGTCTCGCGTTGCCGGCGGGAGAACGTATCTGCTGTATGAATTGTACGTACGCCCGGCGCGCACATTCTCACCTCAACACCACGATTGTACGCTAATAAGTTTCTGTGGGAATACCGTGGCAGAGAGCGACAGATACTTTATTCCGTTTCGTGTCGACCGCACAGGCTTACAGCCGAGACTGTAAAGGCGACGGAGAAATAATTCCCCGGGAGGTCGTGCAACACGATCGAGCGAAAGGATGGGTCCCGATTGTCCTCCGGGCAACGCGGATAACTGGCAGCCGGATGTCAAGTTGGTGAATATTTGATGCCTCCGAATTTACCCGCGTATATAGTCACGCAAAAAGCGAAAACTACACGCACATTTAACAGAGACGCGAAACCCTTCGGATCTTCCGCTCAGAAGCATAACTCTCTCGTTTACATTTAAAGGTGAAGAACTGAAGATGCATAGAAAAGATTCGAAGCTTGTCAGAACTTAATAATAAGTAAAAAGATAAAGGCGACATATATTATGCATTATATTATACATATCGTCTTTACCGTCTTATTCATTTGTTTATGTTCAGAAATTATTACACAAGTACATACACGGAAAACAAATGCTGTTCAATTTAAAAAAATTAAGTTGATTAAATTAAACGTTAACGTCACGCCTGCTACAAACATAAATAATTAACTCAATTGTACTTGCTATGGATTTTAATTTTAAGCACTAAACAAAATATCCAGATTATTAAGACAACTATCTGATGTTTTTCAATTATTAATACGTTGTTCCAACGATTTTATTTCAATTACACAGATTTTGTTGATACAACATCATTTTTTCCCGTGTAGTCGAGAAGAAAATAGATAAGGTTGTACATGAAATATTACGTAAGACACTGAAAAGGCGATATTATCTGAAATCTTGAATCTTTTTATCAATAACAAGCATTTTATATTTTAAACAATTTGAACTCTTGCGGCTTTAATGTTCATTTTATATATAAATTAGAGAAGAAGTGAAGCTTAATGGAGTGGCGCGAGAAGAATGCTTTTCCGGACGTGGAACACACATATGATCGAAAGAACTCAAGAAGTTGCGCTGGAAAAACACGATTGAAACTTTCGTTCGTGCGGTCACGATCAAAATTCTCCAAACTCGTAATACTGCCGCGAGTTTGCCGGATCATTGCCGAGCTTATAGCATAGGATATTCTTGGTTTTTCAAGCGGACGAACGGGGCTATCCAGACGCGGGGCCATCCTCACTCACTACGCTAACAGCTTGCAGTCTGAATAGGAAACTTTTACCGTAGGAAATCCCACGATCGACTTTCGGCGAGCGCCTATTTTTTTTGGAACGACACGGTGACGGTGGGTAGATGGAATTGACGTGCTTCATAAAGTTTTTATGGGCTATTCGAGGGAAGTCGCTTCCTCGCATGCTGTTTACGTGTACGTGGCTTTTTACGAAAATTGTTTTGGCAAGAGACCCTCGTGTTTGAAATGTAAACGTCGTAAATTTATTTTCTAACGTTCTCGATTGTTGATCGTATAACGTTTTAAGATTACTTTTTAACGAGATATTACGGAATCGCATTTCATGCAAAAATCGTGGACATTCTTTCTAACACCTATTTTGGGTCATTAAGCACAATAAAACTTGAAATAATAATAAGCACAATAAACTTGTAAAATAAATCTACTATTTCAATTGTGTTAACAAGTGAGTATGTTCAGATCCCCCCTCCATTCAAAATAATCTAAATATATGAAAAATGAAACACATACACGTACATAAAATTAAATTTTTAGACGTCGCAAAAGCAAAAATAAATACACATTGTAGTTTCGTATTGGACATGTTCAACAATTAAAATCTACTCTTTTAAAGTTTGTAACAAACAATTTATAATAAAGAAATTATTCCAATAGATAGAAATTACATTTCTATCAATGTTTACGATTAGGTATTTTACATGGCGTATATTCTCCATCAGATTGTATTCACTTAACTTTCAACGTGAAATTTAATATATGGTAATCAAAATTTGATAAATTATGAATAAATTTTTTGAGATGTCATATCATAAACATATTTTTATATCCACCTTCTCATCTGCAATCTTTTCTCAAAAATTTAATTTTGTGACACGAGTAATATAAATCATAATTTTTTCAAATTATGATTAGTATCTCAGCAATCTCTCTCTCTCTCTCCCTCTCTCTCTCCCTCTCTCTCTCTCTCTCTCTCTCTTTCTCTCTTTTTTATGAAACTTTTTATTAGAATAAACTAAAATAGCAAATATTACTAGACTATCACTTTCTGTAAAAATGTTATTATGATTTTAATAACTCTATATAATTACCATATGCTCTTACATTTATTAATCACGTTGTAAAGTTATTTATACAATAGTCTAACATTACTTTTTCTTGTTCAAAGAATATTATTAATTCAGTTATAACGAAATTAAAACTCAATAATAACGTGTTGATATCCTAAATTGACGTCTTTTTAATAAAGTCGACACAACATACACTTATTATTATGTGTATTTTCGCACTATTTTCTCTGCAATTGTAATTTCATTTAAAAGTAACAATTTGCACATGTTTGCCTAATTATCGGACCAAAATGCGTGCCACCGCGTATTATTATTAAACCAATCGCGCGCAATGCTATTGCCACAAACGTTGAAATAAATGTGCGAAATATTTCCTTGTTCGTAATTTGCGCAACAATTTATCTGAGTTTCATTAATACAAACATAGTCATAAATACGTAGTTCTGCTGCGAAAAGTGGATGTGACAAGTGTTTAAAACGAATGATAGAAATCATAAAATGATAATCGGGAGATTACGTCAATGGTAGCAAATTTAACGAACGCATTCATTTTAGTCATGATAATAGGGACGAACTCGAAGTATAACCATTTGAAGAGATAGCAAAATGCATTTCTAGATGCAAAGTTGATATACAGTATGTATCTACACTTCTTGTCGCTGTATATATGTTGGGTGCAGACTTCTTTACAGTAAAGGAGGACAGGAACCTGGCCAATAGGGTTGCCACAGAGTCGCCTTATCAGCGGTTTATATGGTACGACGTAGCATGGACTACCTCGAGGCGATTTCTATGTGAACAGTCCTTGTATGAGCATATACGTGGCATCTACTATCGTATCGTATACATAGACAGGTATGTAATCTCCAACCATTTAATTCCCAATATACATATAGGTACTGGTATCGCCGAATAAATCAATGGTCCGATAAAGTGTAAATCGAGCAACATGCTTTTTCAAGTTCAACAGTGAAATGCACCGAGCACTGTAGTATTTGTTTGACTTTGAAATTTACAAATTTAACTGTGTGTCCATTGTAGTATGTCAGAGTGGATAAATTTTAATTACCATAACTATTGTCATTTTTAATATCATAAACCACGTTTAAGAAAATATACAACATCTGCATACGTACGGAACCTGCTTTTTCACTATAAGCCTTAAATTAAATTGATAAAAATACGTAAAAGTAACGCATTACGTAACAATTGCGTAATACGTAATCTACAATATTTTATGGAATATGTGTTGAAAAAGAAACTAATTAAGAAATTTGAGAGATTATGCAACATAATTTGTTATATATATACGCTTATTTTGTACAAACTGCTTCAGATGGCATCTATTGCAAATTTTATTTAAATCGGATTTTTAAGTCTGAGTCTAAAAGAAATATAGGTCAATCTTTAATATGTAACCACTCCGACACGTCAATTATTTTTATTCGTACGAATAATTTAACAAAGTTCAGAATACAGTATTTATATATACACTGCTTCTGATGGTACCTGCTTAAAATTTTATTTAAACATGTCTTGTGTTGGGTTTAAATCTGATTTGGAAATCTAATAATTGTGGAACGTATATGTACGTAGCAACTTCTTATCTCCACCAGGGTTGGGACGTAACTCGTTACTTGTAACAAAGTTACAGTTACAGTTACTTCTTTTTGATAACTCTAACTTAACTTCGTTACTTTCTCTCCATCTGTAACTGTAACTTAACTCAGTTACATTTTTTAAATAACTAATAACTAATTTAATAATTACATTAATAGTTACTTTATATATTTTTTTTAAACCTCCACAAATCGTATTAGGCCTTGCCTTTGCGCATAAACGTCTCCCTAGTAGCATAATTTATTAACTATACATTGGCTAACATTGGTTAAACATTGGTTATGTTGATAGTGAATTGGCCAATATTTTCCCAATATAACGCCAATATTGGTCATAAAATAAATGCAAATATACTATTGATGTTGCACCTAGATGATTATTTAATATTGAGTTGATATTGAAATTATATTGGCCAAGATTGCCCAACAAAATTGTAGTATTGAATATAGAATAAATACTAATGTAACATCAATGTTACGTGTCAATAATTGCACGGTATTGCGTTTACATTGAAAGTGCATTGGCTAACATTATCGAGTTATGTCCCTCTGTTTCTGCCTACCCGAATCCCTACCTACCTACCTACCCGTATCACGCTGTACAGTTCTATTCAATTTCCTACCTACCCGCGTTTTCAACTTTTTGTTAATAAACCTACAAGTCTTTCGTTAAAACCGCGATGCGATTTATAAGAGGACCGACTTGGAATTATACGCGCGCGATTTAATAGGGATTTAATAGGGGTCTTTTTAATCTTGCACATATGCGAGAATGTGTAAAAGGATAAGAATATAACCCACCCGAATTTTGACAAATATAAGAAATCAACTCATTTTGTACAACAACTTTTACATACTCCATCAAAGTGGCCAATATTGACCACTTATACTTCGTTATATTCCCTCGTCGGGCCAGATTGGACATACCTTTCGATGCTCCTGGCCATACAGTCTGGTCATTTTGACCAGAGATCAGAAAGGAAGAAAATTCCTTCCATAGTCGGTTTATTATCGTCACCGACAGATATATCGTACGGTTCGAACTATATGCGAGCGTCGATCGTATCGAAATGCACGACTACGAGAAGTTAATTAAAGAAAAAATTGGTTTAAAAAATTTGCTGTATAAAACACTTCAAATATACTTTTACTTCCGTTATTTATTCGAGAATAGATAATGACTTTCGTGACTCAATCTTTAAATTCAAAGTTCAAGTATATATT